TCTGGGCCAAAATAGTGATAAATGAACAGGAGGGGGCGGTTCGTCGTCGGTGTGGTTTTTAATCGATCGGCCTCCTCCGCCCCCCCCCCGGCGGCCTCGACTTTTCCCCCTAGCGTTGCACCCCCCCCCATCTTTGGCCAGCCCGTGCGCCCCCCTTGGGGGGGGGGGGGGGTGGGGGCGTACGCCAGAGATCGTAGGTACATATGTGGATAAATCCACAAAAAAGCTAGAACGAATACACAAATAATAATCAGTACGTACCTTATTCTGTATTGTGCATAAATCTTTCTTTCAGCTGGGGAGGTTGAGGTCGCTGCAGCTTCTGTGGGCATCACTGAAGGTGGAGCAGCCGGCTCAGTGTGTGTGGTATTGACGGGAACAACTGGCTCTCCTACTGAACTTGCTAATCCTCTTGCAGTCTCTGTGGCATCTGTGCTGAATGCCGATGCAGGTAGGCTCCTAATCATAAGTTAACAGTCTATTCTTCACTGTCTGTTTCCACCTGACATTCCCTACAGGTGTACGTACAACGTAAACGTTCGTGTATTGTTTTGTTGCAATTTGTTCCGCTTTTTATGAATGTTTATCATCATTATAATATGCATATATATATATATCAAACATGGAATTGTGTGCACTCAGGAGCTGGTGACTTTTCTCTGGGTGCGTCTGTCACCATTCCTGCCGGAACAACGCTTCCGACTGATGGCTCTCATTGTGTGGCAGTGAGCGGAACGGAAGATACCTTTTTGGAGGGAGATGAAGCATTTGACGCTATGATCACTGGGACAGACCAAAGTGCCGTCGTTTCTGTTGGAGCATCAGACACTGCCACCGTTACAATCACTGATAACGATGGTGCGTACGACAGGATCGTAGTTACGTATGTGTGATAAGCGAGACGCATATATATGTTCTGTATTGTGCATAAATCTTTCTTTCAGCCGGGGAGGTTGAGGTCGCTGCAGCTTCTGTGGGTATCACTGAAGGTGGAGCAGCCGGCTCAGTGTGTGTGGTATTGACGGGAACAACTGGCTCTCCTACTGAACTTGCTAATCCTCTTGCAGTCTCTGTGGAATCTGTGCTGAATGCCGATGCAGGTAGGCTCCTAATCATAAGTTAACGGTCTATTCTGCATCGTCTATTTCCACCTGACATTCCCTACATGGGTGCGTACAGCGTAACCGTTCGTGCATTGTTGTAGCCTCATGTTCCTCTTTTTATGAACGTTTATCATCATTATAATATGCATATATATGTATATATATATGTATTAAACCTGGAATTGTGTGCACTCAGGAGCTGGTGACTTTTCTCTGGGTGCGTCTGTCACCATTCCTGCCGGAACATCGCTTCCGACTGATGGCTCTCATTGTGTGGCAGTGAGCGGAACGGAAGATACCTTTTTGGAGGGAGATGAAGCATTTGACGCTATGATCACTGGGACAGACCAAAGTGCCGTCGTTTCTGTTGGAGCATCAGACACTGCCACCGTTACAATCACTGATAACGATGGTGCGTACGACAGGATCGTAGTTACGTATGTGTGATAAGCGAGACGCATATATATGTACGTATAATAATCGTACGTATCTTATTCTGTATTGTGCATAAATCTTTCTTTCAGCCGGGGAGGTTGAGGTCGCTGCAGCTTCTGTTGGTATCACTGAAGGTGGAGCAGCCGGCTCAGTGTGTGTGGTATTGACGGGAACAACTGGCTCTCCTACTGAACTTTCTAATCCTCTTGCTGTCTCTGTGGAATCTGTGCTGAATGCCGATGCAGGTAGGCTCCTAATCATAAGTTAACGGTCTATTCTGCACCGTCTATTTCCGCCTGACATTCCCTACATGGGGGCGTACAACGTAACCGTTCGTGTATTGTTTTGTAGCCACATGTTCCTCTTTTTATGACGTTTATCATCATTTAATATGCATATATATATTAAACCTGGAATTGTGTGCACTCAGGAGCTGGTGACTTTTCTCTGGGTGCGTCTGTCACCATTCCTGCCGGAACAACGCTTCCGACTGATGGCTCTCATTGTGTGGCAGTGAGCGGAACGGAAGATACCTTTTTGGAGGGAGATGAAGCATTTGACGCTATGATCACTGGGACAGACCAAAGTGCCGTCGTTTCTGTTGGAGCATCAGACACTGCCACCGTTACAATCACTGATAACGATGGTGCGTACGACAGGATCGTAGTTACGTATGTGTGATAAGCGAGACGCATATATATGTTCTGTATTGTGCATAAATCTTTCTTTCAGCCGGGGAGGTTGAGGTCGCTGCAGCTTCTGTTGGTATCACTGAAGGTGGAGCAGCCGGCTCAGTGTGTGTGGTATTGACGGGAACAACTGGCTCTCCTACTGAACTTGTTAATCCTCTTGCAGTCTCTGTGGAATCTGTGCTGAATGCCGATGCAGGTAGGCTCCTAATCATAAGTTAACGGTCTATTCTGCACCGTCTATTTCCACCTGACATTCCCTACATGGGTACGTACAACGTAACCGTTCGTGTATTGTTTTGTAGCCACATGTTCTCTTTTTATGCGTTTATCATATTTAAATGCATATGTATAATATATTAAACCTGGAATTGTGTGCACTCAGGAGCTGGTGACTTTTCTCTGGGTGCGTCTGTCACCATTCCTGCCGGAACAACGCTTCCGACTGATGGCTCTCATTGTGTGGCAGTGAGCGGAACGGAAGATACCTTTTTGGAGGGAGATGAAGCATTTGACGCTATGATCACTGGGACAGACCAAAGTGCCGTCGTTTCTGTTGGAGCATCAGACACTGCCACCGTTACAATCACTGATAACGATGGTGCGTACGACAGGATCGTAGTTACGTATGTGTGATAAGCGAGACGCATATATATGTACGTATAATAATCGGTACGTATCTTATTCTGTATTGTGTATAAATGTTTCTTTCAGCCGGGGAGGTTGAGGTCGCTGCAGATTCTGTTGGTATCATTGAAGGTGGAGCAGCCGGCTCAGTGTGTGTGGTATTGACGGGAACAACTGGCTCTCCTACTGAACTTTCTAATCCTCTTGCTGTCTCTGTGGAATCTGTGCTGAATGCCGATGCAGGTAGGCTCCTAATCATAAGTTAACGGTCTATTCTGCACCGTCTATTTCCACCTGACATTCCCTACATGGGTACGTACAACGTAACCGTTCGTGATTGTTTGTAGCCACATGTTCTCTTTTTATGCATGTTTATCATCATTTAATATGCATATTGTATATATATTTAAACCTGGAATTGTGTGCACTCAGGAGCTGGTGACTTTTCTCTGGGTGCGTCTGTCACCATTCCTGCCGGAACATCGCTTCCGACTGATGGCTCTCATTGTGTGGCAGTGAGCGGAACGGAAGATACCTTTTTGGAGGGAGATGAAGCATTTGACGCTATGATCACTGGGACAGACCAAAGTGCCGTCGTTTCTGTTGGAGCATCAGACACTGCCACCGTTACAATCACTGATAACGATGGTGCGTACGACAGGATCGTAGTTACGTATGTGTGATAAGCGCCACATGTATTATATACCTTAAAGGTTACTATTATGCGGGCACTATTTTAGCGTTTTTGCACGGAGTGTTTTTGGCGTTATACTAATTTTAGCGATTTGTTTCTCCATAATGTATTAAAAATGTATGCACAATAATGTATGATGATGACAATTGATAATGATCTCACCCAGTGACTAGCAAGCAAGCCCAATGCTATGTGTTTTAGTCTGAAGTTGCACAAATCAAACATGTCAAATTACCTAATACAGGCATTAAATACGTATCCCTCTTCCTCTAATCAATACACATCTCACCATGAGAGTACAAGTGGATTACTGAATAATAGTTAGACGCTGATTCAGGTAACTGCGCGCAGTAGAAAACCGAGAGCCCCAGCATTGTGGCGCCCCCAGCACAGTGAGGGCTCTACCCCCGGGGCACAACGTACATGTAAACAACAAGATAAACAACTAAATCTACATTGACGCATCGTCCACACGCACGCACAGACCCCCTTGCACGCGCCGTCACGCGCACAACCAGAAAAAGAAGGCGGAGTCTCTACAGCATGTCTCTGCCGCTTCGCTCTTCTTGCACCGCATTTTCTGGCGCTCTGAGCCTGTCTCCATCGAGTTATCGTTAGAAGAGCTCCGCCATACGAACGAACAGGAAAGCCGCTCAATGTGAAGCGCTCACTCTAAAATAGTTAGACGCAGAGGTAAGCACGCGCCAGTAGAAAGAGGGCAATGAAGATGACTCAGGCTCTTCCGATGAAGATTTTTGATGTCTAACATTTTTGTTCTATTTAAGCGAATTTTCATTGAGGCACAATTATTAGCGCGAATACAATTTAGCGGTTTGGCTGATTCCCGCTAAAATTATTACCCGCAATTAATAGTAACCTTAATGTATATGTAATCAGTACGTATCCACCTTTTTGGTTTTTGATTTTTTGTATCGTGCATAAATCTTTCAGCTGGGGAGGTTGAGGTGGCTGCAGATTCTTCTAGTATCACTGAAGGTGGAGCAGCCGGCTCTGTGTGTGTGGTATTGACGGCAACAACCGGCTCTCCTACTGAACTTACTAATGCACTTGCAGTCTCTGTGGGATCTGTGCTGAATGCCGAAGCAGGTAGGCTCCTAATCATAAATTAACGATAAATTATGCACCGTTTCTTCCAACTTTATATACCGCAATGTGTACATACAACTTAACCATCCGTGTATTGTTTCATAGCCACATGTTTTCTTTTTTATGCGTATATGTATTGCATGTATATTAAACCTGGAATCGTTTGCACGCAGGAGCTGGTGACTTTTCTCTGGGTGCGTTTGTTACCATTCCTGCCGGAACAACGCTTCCGACTGATGGCTCTCATTGTGTGGTAGTTAGCGGAACAGAAGATACCTTATTGGAGGGAGATGAAGCGTTTGGGGCTAGAATCAGTGGGACAGACCAAAGTGCTGTCGTTTCTGTTGGAGCATCAGACCACTGCTACCGTTACAATCACTGACAATGATGGTGCGTACGACAGGAATTGTAATTCCGTATGTTTGATAAGCGCCACAAGTATTATATGTAATCGGTATATACGTATCCACCTTTTTTTAATCTTTAACCCTCGGCGCGCATGCGCAGCGAGGGTTACTGTAGTTGGGTCTGTGTGTCTGTCAGCTGTGTGTCTGTCTGTCTGTTTGTTACTCGTCATCTCACTTCTCGAGTATTCGTTCATCTCACAAAGGATACCACCTACGAACGGGCAATGAAGGTCAAAAGTTTCGAACGGTTTTCCCTGATAATGCTCTGTTCAAAGCTAGAGCGTGAAACAGCCGATATGCAAATACACAACGGCTTACTACGGCATGATCGATCAGCGTGCTCTGCCTACCTCGGAAGAACCAGAAGATGTAACGCAGGGCGGGTATCGCCTCTCGGCATGCTACTAGTAGTGTAGTTTGCCCGCGTCGACTTTGCGCGAGCTGGCAAGAGACAACGAGTGACAGCAAAACTAACACACCAGACAACCAATTAGTGGTACGGCGCATGCATGTACTTATGCATGCGCGTCACAGAGCGCCGAGGGTTTGCACTTCAGGCTTTCTCATTGATTTTTGTATCATGCCTAAATCATTTCTTTCAGCTGGGGAGGTTGAGGTGGCTGCAGCTTCTGTGGGTATCACTGAAGGTGGAGCAGCCGGCTCCGTGTGTGTGGTATTGACCGGAACAACTGGCTCTCCTACTGAACTTGCTAATCCTCTTGAAGTCTCTGTGACATCTGTGCTGAATGCCGAAGCAGGTAGGCTCCTAATCATAAGTTAATGGTTAATTCTGCACCGTTTAAACATAGCGCACATGGGTACATTCAACTTAACCATTCGTTTATTGTTTCGTAGCCACATGTTCTCTTATTTATGCGTGTTTATCATCATATGTATTGCTTAAACCTGGAATTGTGCGCACGCAGGATTTGTTGACTTTTCTCTGGGTTCGTCTGTCACCATTCCTGCCGGAACAACGCTCCCGACTGATGGTTCTCATTGTGTGGCAGTGAGCGGAACGGATGATACCTTATTGGAGTGTGATGAAGCGTTTGGGGCTAGAATCAGTGGGACAGACAAAAGTGCCGTAGTTTCTGTTGGAGCATCAGACACTACCACCGTTACAATCACTGATAACGATGGTTCGTACGACAGGATTTGTAGTTCCTTACGTTTGATAAGCGCCACTAGTGTACATATAATAATCAGTACGTATCCACCTTTTTCATTTTTGAATTTTTGTGTCGTTCATATATCTTTCTTTCAGCTGGGGAGGTTGAGGTGGCTGCAGCTTCTGTGGGTATCACTGAAGGTGGAGCAGCCGGCTCCGTGTGTGTGGTATTGACCGGAACAACTGGCTCTCCTACTGAACTTGCTAATCCTCTTGAAGTCTCTGTGACATCTGTGCTGAATGCCGAAGCAGGTAGGCTCCTAATCATAAGTTAATGGTTAATTCTGCACCGTTTAAACATAGCGCACATGGGTACATTCAACTTAACCATTCGTTTATTGTTTCGTAGCCACATGTTCTTATTTATGCGTGTTTATCATCATATGTATTGCTTAAACCTGGAATTGTGCGCACGCAGGATTTGTTGACTTTTCTCTGGGTTCGTCTGTCACCATTCCTGCCGGAACAACGCTCCCGACTGATGGTTCTCATTGTGTGGCAGTGAGCGGAACGGATGATACCTTATTGGAGTGTGATGAAGCGTTTGGGGCTAGAATCAGTGGGACAGACAAAAGTGCCGTAGTTTCTGTTGGAGCATCAGACACTACCACCGTTACAATCACTGATAACGATGGTTCGTACGACAGGATTTGTAGTTCCTTACGTTTGATAAGCGCCACTAGTGTACATATAATAATCAGTACGTATCCACCTTTTTCATTTTAGAATTTTTGTGTCGTTCATATATCTTTCTTTCAGCTGGGGAGGTTGAGGTGGCTGCAGCTTCTGTGGGTATCACTGAAGGTGGAGCAGCCGGCTCCGTGTGTGTGGTATTGACCGGAACAACTGGCTCTCCTACTGAACTTGCTAATCCTCTTGAAGTCTCTGTGACATCTGTGCTGAATGCCGAAGCAGGTAGGCTCCTAATCATAAGTTAATGGTCAATTCTGCACCGTTTAAACTAACTTTACATAGCGTACATGGGTACATTCAACTTAACCATTCGTTTATTGTTTCGTAGCCACATGTTCTCTTATTTATGCGTGTTTATCATCATATGTATTGCTTAAACCTGGAATTGTGCGCACGCAGGATTTGTTGACTTTTCTCTGGGTTCGTCTGTCACCATTCCTGCCGGAACAACGCTCCCGACTGATGGTTCTCATTGTGTGGCAGTGAGCGGAACGGATGATACCTTATTGGAGTGTGATGAAGCGTTTGGGGCTAGAATCAGTGGGACAGACAAAAGTGCCGTAGTTTCTGTTGGAGCATCAGACACTACCACCGTTACAATCACTGATAACGATGGTTCGTACGACAGGATTTGTAGTTCCTTACGTTTGATAAGCGCCACTAGTGTACATATAATAATCAGTACGTATCCACCTTTTTCATTTTTGAATTTTTGTGTCGTTCATATATCTTTCTTTCAGCTGGGGAGGTTGAGGTGGCTGCAGCTTCTGTGGGTATCACTGAAGGTGGAGCAGCCGGCTCCGTGTGTGTGGTATTGACCGGAACAACTGGCTCTCCTACTGAACTTGCTAATCCTCTTGAAGTCTCTGTGACATCTGTGCTGAATGCCGAAGCAGGTAGGCTCCTAATCATAAGTTAATGGTTAATTCTGCACCGTTTAAACATAGCGCACATGGGTACATTCAACTTAACCATTCGTTTATTGTTTCGTAGCCACATGTTCTTATTTATGCGTGTTTATCATCATATGTATTGCTTAAACCTGGAATTGTGCGCACGCAGGATTTGTTGACTTTTCTCTGGGTTCGTCTGTCACCATTCCTGCCGGAACAACGCTCCCGACTGATGGTTCTCATTGTGTGGCAGTGAGCGGAACGGATGATACCTTATTGGAGTGTGATGAAGCGTTTGGGGCTAGAATCAGTGGGACAGACAAAAGTGCCGTAGTTTCTGTTGGAGCATCAGACACTACCACCGTTACAATCACTGATAACGATGGTTCGTACGACAGGATTTGTAGTTCCTTACGTTTGATAAGCGCCACTAGTGTACATATAATAATCAGTACGTATCCACCTTTTTCATTTTTGAATTTTTGTGTCGTTCATATTATATCTTTCTTTCAGCTGGGGAGGTTGAGGTGGCTGCAGCTTCTGTGGGTATCACTGAAGGTGGAGCAGCCGGCTCCGTGTGTGTGGTATTGACCGGAACAACTGGCTCTCCTACTGAACTTGCTAATCCTCTTGAAGTCTCTGTGACATCTGTGCTGAATGCCGAAGCAGGTAGGCTCCTAATCATAAGTTAATGGTCAATTCTGCACTGTTTAATCTAACTTTACATATCGTACATGGGTACATTCAACTTAACCATTCGTTTATTGTTTCGTAGCCACATGTTCTCTTATTTATGCGTGTTTATCATCATATGTATTGCTTAAACCTGGAATTGTGCGCACGCAGGATTTGTTGACTTTTCTCTGGGTTCGTCTGTCACCATTCCTGCCGGAACAACGCTCCCGACTGATGGTTCTCATTGTGTGGCAGTGAGCGGAACGGATGATACCTTATTGGAGTGTGATGAAGCGTTTGGGGCTAGAATCAGTGGGACAGACAAAAGTGCCGTAGTTTCTGTTGGAGCATCAGACACTACCACCGTTACAATCACTGATAACGATGGTTCGTACGACAGGATTTGTAGTTCCTTACGTTTGATAAGCGCCACTAGTGTACATATAATAATCAGTACGTATCCACCTTTTTCATTTTGAATTTTTGTGTCGTTCATATATCTTTCTTTCAGCTGGGGAGGTTGAGGTGGCTGCAGCTTCTGTGGGTATCACTGAGGTGGAGCAGCCGGCTCCGTGTGTGTGGTATTGACCGGAACAACTGGCTCTCCTACGGAACTTGCTAATCCTCTTGAAGTCTCTGTGGAATCTGTGCTGAATGCCGATGCAGGTAGGCTCCTAATCATAAGTTGACGGTCAATTCTGCACCGTCTATTTCCACCTGACATTCCCTACATGAGTACGTACAACATAAGCATCGTGTATGTTTTGTTGCAATTTGTTCCTCTTTTTATGAATGTTTAATGTATCAACCATGGAATTGTGTGCACTCAGGAGCTGGTGACTTTTCTCTGGGTGCGTCTGTCACCATTCCTGCCGGAACACGCTTCGACTGATGGCTCTCATTGTGTGGCAGTGAGCGGAACGGAAGAACCTTATTGGAGGGAGATGAAGATTTGGGGCTAGAATCAGTGGGACAGACCAAAGTACCGTCGTTTCTGTTGGAGCATCAGACACTGCCACCGTTACAATAACTGATAATGATGGTGCGTACGACAGGGATCGTAGTTACATATATGTGATAAGCTAGACAAATACAACAAATAATAATCAGTACGTACCTTATTCTGTATTGTGCATAAATCTTTCTTAGCGGGGGAGGTTTGAGTCGCTGCAGCTTCTGTGGGTATCACTGAAGGTGGAGCAGCCGGGCTCCGTGTGTGGTTGGTATTGACCGGAACAAACTGCTCTCCTACGGAACTTGCTAATCTCTTGCAGTCTCTGTGAATCTGTGCTGAATGCCGATGCAGGTAGGCTCCTAATCATAAGTTGACGGTCAATCTGCACCGTCTATTTCCACCTGACATTCCCTACATGAGTACGTACAACATAGCATTCGTGTGATTGTTTTGTAGCACATTGTTCTCTTTTTATGCATGTTTATCATCATATGTATCTAAAACCATGGAATTGTGTGCACTCAGGAGCTGGTGACTTTTCTCTGGGTGCGTCTGTCACCATTCCTGCCGGAACAGACGCTTCCGACTGATGGCTCTCATTGTGTGGCAGTGAGCGGAACGGAAGATACCTTTTTGGAGGGAGATGAAGCATTTGACGCTATGATCACTGGGACAGACCAAAGTGCCGTCGTTTCTGTTGGAGCATCAGACACTGCCACCGTTACAATCACTGATAACGATGGTGCGTACGACAGGGATCGTAGTTACGTATGTGTGATAAGCGAGACGCATATATATGCGTAATCAGTACGTATCCACCTTTTCTGTATTGTGCATAAATCTTTCTTTCAGCTGGGGAGGTTGAGGTCGCTGCAGCTTCTGTGGGTATCACTGAAGGTGGAGCAGCCGGCTCAGTGTGTGTGGTATTGACGGGAACAACTGGCTCTCCTACTGAACTTGTAATCCTCTT